AGGAGACATTTTAACCTTGGTTTTGGAAATGGCGAGGTGAGTGGGCGGTTGGTTTGGACGTCCGGGTAAATCCCTCGAACGAGCTTGGCAGCTTTGACGCGACGTAATATGCTCTACCCAGACCTCAAGTGCTATGCGCGCCTAGACCTTCGCCGCATTTTATATTTCATGGGTTGAGCGCGCCTCAATCGCAAGGCCGCTGTGCGCAGGTCTGCTTCTCTTATAATTTTTCAAATGCATTTAGGGATGCTAAATGAAGAGTTGGCGAACAGTGCATTGGATTGTTACATTGTTGGTGGCGGTTTTGGTCCATTCCGAGGAGTGGCCACCACGTTTTGTTTCAACCATCCTTTATTCTCTCCTTTTTGTTCAGACATGTTCAGACCCTGTGAGCTGCAGGTCTGTCTTGCCCTTGTTCACACTTTTTGCCTGGCCAGCCACACTGGGCCTTGCTGAGCCTGATCATAGGCGTATCAATCTTAAATTTTGCTGAAGCATAAAGGCCCCGGCCTGTCTGAATGCAAGATGTTCACTTCGTGAGTGAGGGCATCAGCTTTTGCCAGCAACATGTTATTGTTTGGTTGGTAGACCCCCGCTGCTCGTTGGCCGCGTAGGGCATCTGCCTCTTGATTGAGGCTGAGGATTCCACTTCTGGAAGCTTCCTGTTTGAGCGAGGAAGCATCGGCCAGCTGATTTTTGACTTTCAGCCTAACATTAGTTGTTTAGGCGTTGCCTTGAGTAGGGATCCTTGGATCTTCGCATGAAGAACCGCTCTGAGAGCGGGCGGAGCTTCCTTCATGTCAGCTGTCCGCGTATTTGTATCGCTCGCTATCCCTACATCCACGCCACCCTACATCGAAGACTGACCCCGCATCAGAAAATCGACGAGTGAGCATGATGTTTTTCAATATCCAGATGGCGATTCAGTGCTCAGCAGAAGCCAAGCCAAACCGAGCGAACCCCAAAAACAACATGCGGCCTGCACCCCCTGAGAACACCCGATAACCAGAGCAGCAAACGCTGTGCCGTCATCGTGGCGGAACAGCACTTCTATGACTTGTGTTCCATTCGTGGAATGCCCAACGCTGTAATTTGCAGTGTGTGCTCTGTTTGAGCAGCTATACGCCTCACTATGTTCTCGGTGGTCACTGGCACGCCGATGCTGTGATTCTGAAATTTTCGGCACAAATGCGGGAAATGGCAACAGCAGTTGTGGAACTTCCGCTTCTGTAATCTCTAGGGATTGCAGTTCCTGCGGATGGAGATTAAGACTAAGACACACCCAACCATGCGCCACGGGTACCCATTCGTCATTGACCGCCGCGCGGGCGACGGACACACCTGAATAGCTGTGGCTTCTATTCGAACCGTTTCTATGTAACGTTGCAATTGCCGCTCCGTTTTCTTGCCACAACCCTGCGCTGCAGCACTGGGTAGAGAGTTTGCAAGGTTGCGCCGAAAGCGACGAGACGGTGAACCAATTGATTTCCACGACGTGTTCAAGGAAGTTTGAACTTCGGCAAGTTCACGGTGACTTGCATGGCATGCCTGCAGGACAATCTCACGTGGAAAGAATGGCAGTACGTAAAAGAGCACGGTCCTTGCCTTGACCGAGAGTACGAGGTTGGAATTCGGGAAGGGCCTGAGGCCGGCTGCAGGTTGTTATCGTTTCGGAAGTGGGCAGGTGTTCTCGCGCTTCTGGTCGGCAAAGGAGGCCTTCGTGAAAGCCAGGGGCGATGGTCTTGCATATCCCCTGGGCAAGGCAAGCGCAGTTGTTTTTTACATCGTCATGTGCTAGTCCTCATTCTGAAGATGATACTTTGGCTGCAGAGGCGGAGTTCCATTGGAAGCCAATCGAGGGCTACGACTTTGGGACGGCATTCGAGGGCGATGTTCACATAGAAGGCTGTGCAGATTCTAATATGCACTTCGGACTTGTGGTGGATGCGCATGCAGGCACGCACAGCCCAAGGTGGCGATTTGTGCAGTACAGGCGCTAGGGCAGTGCGGGTGCCGCGACAATGCGGTTGGGTCTTGTTCCTGGCTTTTGTGCAGGATGCCTGGGGACTCCCCTCACTGGACAACGGTTGGTAGAGGACCGTTGACAGACATCGTCGATGCGTGCCACGGACACGCTTTTGTTGCTTTCTTTGCAGAGAGCCTTGTGGAGAGGTGGTCCTCAACCTGTGGATTTTTGACGTTCGGAACGGATGCAAGTCGGGTCAGAAGGGAGCTTTTCAGGTTTTGGGTCCCAAGAATCTGTTGGTAGATCTTTAGTTATGTTAGTTATAATACATAGCATGGATGACTTTGTAATCGGTATGTATGTGATTACCAAAAGAAGGCCTGAGACATGACCCCATCACACTGCACTCCAGCAGTAAATGCCAGTCAGGCAGGTGTGCCCAGCGAGCCACCAAACCAAAAAAGTGTAAACATGTTGGAATACAATGCCGTGATCAGAGGTACGGGGCAGCAAACTCGGACCATGGCCACATGTCAAACCACTTGTGCCCAACTGCATGGGAAACCTGCGAGGCCTGAATGCTGTTGTTGAAAATGGCCCTGTCGCACTTTCGTGTCGGCTTCCTTCTCGCGGCGTTTGGGACATGAGCACCCTTTTTATGGATACATATTGATGCGAAGGGCCTGGGGCGAGTCACATCAAAGCCTATTAAGGACCTCTCTTGTACTGACTTCCCAAAATCGGACCAAGATCGGAGATTTCCAAGCTGTTGGTGGAGAGCAGTCTCGGTTGGAAGCGGCAGTTCGCAAGCCGTACAGGCTTGCCATAACGGGTAAAGCGGTTTCTAGCCGTAAGCGCGTGATGCGTGGACATCGGTCTGTGGTGGAGGTGTTTCGGCTAGACGTTCGTGCAGTGCAGCAAGGCATTGTGTACAGTGGAACAAGAGCCCCTAATGCGTTGTGTTGGGATTAGATTTTTTTTTGGTTTGGACTGCGTTTATGTGTGATGCGCGATGATGTTGGATGCGGGAGTAGTGGGAGGTTGTCAGATTGGTGTGTAGATTCAGTGCAAGGAAAAAATTAGCTTTGAAGCCGGAGGCCAGGCGTTGAAAAAGAGCGAGGCGAACCAGTCATGATGCGAAGAATCTCGTAGGTTCGGGCACGATGGCGGTGTCAAAAGTGTGAAGCGATTTGTGGACACGTGTTGAGATGCGAACAACTCGGGATCATGGTGTTTTCTAGCTGTGACGTCCAATTCGGGAAGCTGTCGGTGATCCTGACACAAAAGCTCAAGAAATTCCTCGTTTAAATGTGATCCGAATGTGTGCTGGCCATCTTCGTAGCTGTGGGCGGTCTGTGGGCGTTTTTGGGCCTTCGTGCCGTCGTCGCCTCTCAAAAGTGCGAGCTTCCATTCCGCATGAAGCTGCTCTTGCACAAGAGCTTCTTCTACAGAATTGATTAATGAACCCAATCCATTAAGACATTTCCAAGCTTCTCAGGCCTTCTAGCGAAGAATAAAGCTTCTGTCAGAGCTTGTATTAGCATTTTGGCTGCAGCTTGGCAGCCTCTAGTCGAAAAGAAAGCTTCATGACCCCTGAGCCCAGTGTTCCCAGTGATTGTTGACACGTTTGCCACGTCAGGAGGATGTAAGTCCAAAATCGATACAAGTACCAAGAATATCCACCTGCGCGCTCCTTCAACTGTCGACGTGAGACATGATAGCCCCAACTCTGTCACTGCTGCCACAAGAGGTTGAATGGATGCTTTGCTTAAGTGAAGCCCTTGTAACCGAATGATGATAGCGGGGACGAGGATGTCCAGGAGCCTTTCAGTACTCGATACATCTTGAGGGTTGAATGGCGAGCTCCGCCCAGCGGCCAGGCACGGAGAGTTCACCAAGACCTTGCGCAAGCCGCAGGAACTTTTCTCTGAGCGTGAGTGGCAGGCGGCAAGTATGCATTGCCATCTGCTCAAATCGTGAAGCGTCCGCTTTAGCAGGCACATCTGGAGTCCCACAGCCCACATTTTGATGTCCTCCCTGTTGGTGCTCTAGTGCCACAGGACACCTGGCACATCAGACCAGAGGAGCCACGGTCATGTGCTTGATCTCTCTGTCAGGACAACATGGATGCCTATGTTGAAGCTGGCGGCCTTAAATTTCCGTGAGACACAACGTGAAGCACAGGCTTTTGTTCATAGCCCTTCTGTGATTTGAAGTCTCTTGGTGTACAGCTTGCCTCGTTTTGCCGAACGTGTGAACGGGAGCAGAACTCCAACCAAGCAGAAGCGTTCGCATTTGACAGCCGGTCAGATGTATACGCTGCCTCCAGCAGCATCAGCTTTGAAGCCTCTCTAGTTGGAAGCAACCGGAGGCGCAATCGAACAACCTTGACCACAAGTATGACACTTGCCAGATACCTGCTGTCACGCAGCTAAGAGCTCCAAAGACTGAGTGTTGAAAGGAACGCTGGCAGTTCATTAGGTCAGATGAAAGGCAGCCTTCTTATGTTTTCTAGGGTTCCCCACTTTGACGCAAGCAGTACGCGTCTTTCGACATTCAGCTACCTGCTGTACAAAGTGTGGTTGCATGAAAAGAAGAAGCAACCGAGGCGTTCAGTAAAAGCAGCGCCAAAAAAAGTTAAAGCAGTGCCGGCGGAAATTGAGCCTTCGGAGCTTGGTCATGAGCAGGACATTACAAGCACTCGAGCTGGCTTTTCAAATCATCGTCTGGGATCTTTCCCGCCTTTTGCAGCTGGATTTTTGCCATCTCAAAAGGGTGCATGCGCAACTGCTGACAAATCTTCAGTCTATCAAGATGCAGTTTTGTGCCTCCTGGCGGACGCGCAAACAGTCAGGATACAGTCTTGAGTCTGCGGATCTTGGATTGAAATGCTCGGTTGGGTCTTGTCTTCAATATTGGGATCTAACAGCCAAATACGGCTTGCCTCGCTGTCAGCGGGACATCGGAGGCCTGTTTAGAGAGAATGGTCACGGGGCCTGCACAAGAAGTAAGCAACACAGCAAGTTTTCCCAAAGAAGGTGTGGATACTTTGGAGGAAATCAGCGCCTTGTTAACGTGCCTGCAGTTCAGCTGCAATGTTACTCTTTGTGGCGCAAAGGATGTCTGCACATTTGGATAGCCCTGCATACTGACTGCTAGAAACGATTGAAGCTAACTGCTAATGAATAAACCTTGCACAGCAAATGAGAGAAGTGCAGTTGCAAGTAGCTGCGGTTGCAGGACAGTATCTCAGATGCAATATGATCATCTTCTTTGGTGAACATCCCGGGCGGCTTTCAAAGATGAAATGCGACTGAATGAATCTGATGACAAGTGTATGTTTGCATCAGCTCTTGACTTCCTGGTGATCACGGCAATCAGCGGTCGGCAAGTCTAGCAACTCCGAGAGATTCTCTTGATGGCTCAGAGTGCTGAAGCGAAGTGTTGAGATGTTGATGCACACATGCTGTCCAGGTTAGTCCTCTTTGGTCTTTCTCCTCTTTGGTCTTTCAATACAGTAAATCTGGGATCAGCATGAGCTCAACAAAAGGCGCTTGAACGTGTAGCTGCCATCCAGCAGGGCCTACATCATGGTGGACGCTGGAAGCGCAGCTTGACTTCAAAGCCAGGCAGAAAGACACTTGAGCTTCCTCCGTGCCACTGCATGGTCCGGAACCAGCAAATGGAGGTGTAAAGCAATGGGCGTCATTGGGCCCAAACGGGCTGAAGAAGCTGCAGGCAGAGCCATGCTGTACGCTTTCAAGCAGAGTGCTATTCAGACAGAGAGTTCTGGAATCCCTCGAAGCTGGATTATACTTATCAGCCGCAAACCTAAGGGTGCTACCGAGAGTGCGCGTGTAACATTTTCCTGGGAACCAGTCAGTTGTCCTTGCAGTCAAATATCTACAATTCCAAAGCAGAAAACCGACAATGCTGTGCATGGAGAACCGTCAGGGTTCTCAACCCTACAGCAAGCAAGAATTTGGTGATTTGCTGCCTACCTGATTGTCTGGGCTACGTCCAGAAACCATACTGGTGCATCACAGTAGACAAAAGCATGATTCTGCTGTTCTACATTGTTCTACCGCGCTTACCACAAGTGAGCGTGCGGGCTGTGACATGGAGAAAATGAACTACTGTTGCTGCATGCGGCGAAGCAGTGTCAGACGCAAGCCCTACCTCCCACAGGGAGGCTACCTCCCTTGAAAGGGGAAAGCAGGAAGGTAACTGTAAAAACAACGCGTGGGAATTCTGACACTTACGTCACCCGGCCCCAAGCACAGAGCCCTGTGCTTCCCTCCTTCCTGCGTCACTGCGAGCATGCTTCAATGAGACGCGGCTGCGCAGCCTGAAGGGTGCGTTTCGCAGCTTGTGTAAAAGAGCTTGTGCTGGCGGGCTACCTAAGGCTTATACTGTCGGGTCCCCAGTCGGGTGTTTCTGGGCCGTATAGCACGGGTCTCGTCCCCAGCATCACGGGCACGGTCGCTGCTCCTGGCCTTGGACTTCAGGCGCTCTTTGTCGGGCCCTGGGCTGTTGCCCTTGTGATTGTGGTCGTACCGACCCTTCGACGTCTTGTGCGTATCATGATTGCCAATTTGGATAATTAAGTTGAATGCAAGGTTCGTCAGGGACTGGGTATGCACAGATCCAAGCTTCTGTTTTTTTACATTACTATATATTATTTCAAATTCCAAAGTCCGATGGCACCCTTTTGACGAAAGAAGGTGTGGTCAGGATCTTACAGCAGCTTGTCTCGTCGTCAGGGTGAAGGGTGAAAGACCAGGCCGGTCGTGATGTCATTCCTGGACACAGTTTTCGCTCCATGCCAAGAGTATTAACTCGCGATTGGCCTCAGCTTCAGCAGTCCTTTCGGCTTCCTCCCACCGCAGGCCCGGCTCAAAATGAAGATAAATGAAGACTGGATTCGGCTCCAGAAGTTTCATCGGTACCGTTCCGGCGCGAATGCACTGTTTTCAACCAGCTGCTGGGATGGTTGCGATCTCTGCCACGACTAGTCACTAGCAAATCTGATTCCAGAGCTAAGGAGCTGAGCGGGCCTTTGGGCATTAGGGGTGATGTTCTTCAGTGGGTTGATCAGCGAACGGCTGACGTGTTAGCTTGGTTGCACCAAGCTGTCGCATTTCACCTAACTAGTAAAGCTTGTGAGCTGAAGAAATTTGAAGGGCCTAGAAAGGCCACGAAACAGGAACTTATCCAAACTGCTCAGGATATTTCACCCACCCACAACTGGGTGGTTAAGGAAGGTACGGCGAGATGCTCTTGGTGTTTGATCACGCTGAAGTGCAGTGAACCCACAAGCAGCGTGCACCGTAAGTTTCACATGCAATGTCCATGTCCGGGCGGGAGACTTCAGGCGCAGAGGCTCAATGAGTTAGGGGTGCACCGCAGTCATCAGGTTGAAGTGCGTCCTGGAGGGATCAAGTGTGCCCAGTGCAAGAAATCCCGACCATGGATGAGACTTGCAGCTTTTCAGAAGGGATGCCTGAGGGAGGGCAGACGCCGGTGGTTAGTTCAGGGTAGGAGTTGCTTTGTCTTTGGAAAAAAAGCAAATCGGGACTGAAAGAAGGAATTGATCAGCGGATCCCTCACCTTCAAAAAGTTGCGTCTTGAAGAGGACTCAAACTGTCAACTGGACTGGAATCCAAGAGCTCCAGTACCGACACTCTCTCTTAGCAAGGGAAGCGAGAGCATCTCTACAACGAGCATCCCATAAGCGTCGAGATGATGCGCTGTACCTGCCGCAGCAGTCTGTGTAGGACATGATGCAACCGTGGTTTGTCGTTCGGAGATGATCTGAGATTTGAAAGCGTTTTCTGACTGCATGATACGCTCTGCATGGAATGTGGGGATTGGCGTCAATTTTGGATCCTGGCTGTAAGCGCCTTGCGCCGCGAGGCCCAGAAATCGTTGTAGCCTCGGATGTCCATTACACAGCAAATATCATACCAAAAATGGTGATGGATTCGCTGGCAAGCTTCTCAGACGAGAAAGGGGTGGATTGGAAAACCATTGACGCCTCTTGTGGCCGAAGCTGCTGTTCAGAACCTTCTGATTCAGCAGAGTGGTTGTGAGGGAACAAATGAGGATTTGAAACCTTTTTGAGGAGGAGCCAAGTTGAGCGGAGTGACATGACTTGCTCGACATTCAAGAGCTGAAGCATGGACACCGCATGACACCGCAGGCTTTTGAGCGGGGCAAAGGCGGAGCCGGCGGAGTGGAGCTGGTTCCAATGGAGCACGAAGCCAAGAGAATTGACTTTCGGGGATGCAGCAGAGGTGACTTGGTGACTTGGCAGGTCAGATTCACATTCTGTGCGCGGCAAGCTTAAAAGAGTGGATCGAAAGGCCAAGTTCCAGCAAGATGCGGCGCCAACAGGTGTTGCTTTGACTGCTATCGCGCCCCCGCCACCCTACTCCCAATTGCCGTAAGCTTACTGCATGGGACTTGAGTAAGCACTGCAACCATGTATCGCCCACTGCAGGTCAGAATTTCTGCACCGCGAACATCGACAAGCGCGGTCCCTGTTACAAAGTGCTTTCACAGCAAGCAGTTGGTGTTGTTACAGTTCAGTCCTGACTTTTCAGGCGCGTGGAGATGCACCCATCAACACAGTCGAGGAGCGCATGAGATGCAAAAACATTTAACCTCTCAAGTGGATCCCAAGCCGTGGGTTGAGGCCTCTGCGGGGTTAGGCGCCAGCCCTTCCCTCCCCTCGCCTTGGCTGCATTCTCATGAGAAACGTGCTGTCACTGCGTAAGGCTTTGTGCAGGCCATCATGATAAAGTGTCTGCAGAACTTCTAAAACAGGAGGACTTTCTGATGGCAGGATGAAACCCAGGTGAATGAATTAGGAACAGGATGACGGCTCTTTCAAAGCCGCTGAACACACTCAGCCACTTCAATCCATCGCCCAAGCTATGCCAATTTTCCACAAATTCCACAATTTCTACTGCGGCCGCCAGACCACTGTTATCTGGCTAGAGCCATGCTTTCTTCATCCCTCATTAGTTTTTGGTTTCGACATGAATCATGTCCTTGTTCATGTCGAAGCTTCAACCATTGAAATGTACTTCTCTCGTTCCCAGGCGACCTGCCGACTTGCCATTAAAATGCTCGAAGCCATGATCAGCCTCAGTCGTTCTCT